ACTTGGAGTTAGATTTGGAAACTAGTCAATTTTAGCTAGCAGTTGAATCTGGCGGTCAGGACAAATGGCCTCAAATCTGCCTGGGATTTCCAGTAAGAAAACAACAACTCCTGTCTTCATTGAGTTCTGTTTTCCAGGTTGCCCAAAAAGCAAAATCTGATGGCCGTTTCTCAGCAGGAGCAAGAAGACGGTTGGGAAGACTAGAAGAGACCTTCCTTCTGTCAGGGCTCCTTCTTTCAAAAAGGGAGATGCTCAATCAGCAAAGGAGAAGGAATGAATGAATGAATGGCTGTAAATCATGCAAATCCTGGGTGGCTCTGATTTCCAGTGGCTCCTTGAGCCATCTGCCGGCGTTTAGCACAGCTACAAGCAGGGATGGAGGCAACATGGCATCTCTGGGATGGTGCTGTCTTGGGGAGCCTCATTGCCCGAGAATTACAGCCCTGCATTATTTATTAAGCAGGTGGTCTGTTGCAGTGCGGGACGAGGGGCAGGTCTTCTTTCCCAAAGTAACTCAGGTGGAAGGGAAGTGTTCCTCACCCACCAGAGATGTAATGGAGCCAAGGCCTTTGGGTCTGAAGCTCTAGGACTTTCTGGGGGATGGCATGGTACCTACCATCTGCCAGCCCCTTGAGCATCCCTGTTCCCTCAGAATGGAGCTGCCATCCCCATGGCTATGTGATGGGCTACCCTTGTTGGAAAGGTCGTGAAAAAGCATTAGAAAGATTATCATGAAATCCTAGAATCGTAGAGTTGGAGGAGACACTCAAGGGCTATCCAGTCCAGCTCTCTTCAGGCACCATCAAAGCTCTCCCTATAGCCATGTTAGTCTGGAACATCAGCATGCAAAGGGATCTTGTAGCAGCTGTGAGACTAGATGAGTGAAAGACATAGCAGTGAGTTTTATTAGACTTGGTCTACTTCCTCAGATGCATGAGTTCAAGGAAGTAGGTTTATGGAAGCAGAGGCTACAACATTTCAAAGGTGCTAAAAGGTCCCAAGACAGAAGAAGATTAAGTGCTTTTGCTGGCAAGAGGGACGGACGGACGGACGGACGGACGGACGGACGGACGGAGGGGGAGAAGAGTGACCCCAGTGCGCCATCCTTATGAGAAACGCCCACGGGAGAGAAAACGGGGGTGCGTGGGTGCATGTGTGTGTGTGGAAACGCACCACAGCCAGCCTTCTGCTTCCTGTGCAGTTGTGTGATCAGGCCTGCACAGCTTGGGAGTCCTCCGCAGCTTTCGTTTCCTGCTTTCTCACAGCTGCGGCGGTGCTGCCGTTTCTCAACCTTTACCAATGGGAGATGTGGTGACCCTTGCTTTATCTTCCCCGTCCTCCGTCCTCCATGCTCTCAGCTCCTTTCCAATGGGGCTTCTGGTTGTAGGCCCACCAGTTGCAGCAGAGACCTCAAACTCCCAGCAACATCGGCTGCTTCCGCACTGGGTCCCTTTAATATCAAGGAGGTACTTGCTTCTCTGGTAAGAAGTCAGGTGAAGAATTTTTAAAAGGCAGCTCCATTATCATTAATGCTGAGATGCCACATCATATATGCGTAGAATAAATCTCCATGCGCAGAGATGTGCATTCATTTTGCTATGCAACCCTCCTGTTGGATGGCAATGTTGGACACCTGAATGCTGGAAATGCACCGTTGAATGCCACAACCAAATGTGTCCCTGCACGCACAATGGTCCCAGATGTACAACTCGATTTCTGCACCCTTCAACCGAATGCAGATGTTCCATTCCACACTAGACAAAAATATCCATCTGCTTCCATGTGGAGACTTATGCATGCATAAGATGTCCATGGGGTTTCCAGCCAACAACTCTCTCTCTCTTTCTCTCTCTTAGTCTATGTGTATTGCCACAAACCACAGTTAGGCTATCTTTGCAGACCTGATTTCATGCACCACCAGATCTTCCACTGTTTCTGCTTCTCATGCGCTTGTCACTCGGTCCCACAGCCTTCTGTGAGTTATTCCACCTGCCCAAGGTCTCAGGAAGGCAAAACGACGCCGACGCCGAGGCTGGGGTGTATCTCAGACCGACAGCCGTCATGCGACATCCCCTCGTGTGATGAAGAGCATCCTTCCAAGCGACAGACAAGGCTTCCTGCTCTCCCCCTCCATCAATGAACCTCGGTCTGAAAGTCAATGTGGTTCTTGTGGGGAGGAAGGAGAGCGCATGCTCTCCCCCAAAATGTACCCAGCGCGACAGAAGTGAGTCATGGGGTGGCGAAGGGGGCAGGATGTGGTTTTACCCAGCCCAGCCTTCTGCTCTTCTTGTTCTCTGGAAAGAAGATCAGCCTTTGAACCAACCGCCTCCTATTTCTGCACTGAGCATTCAAGCAAGGAAAGGGAGATTCCCAGCTGCTGATGCTGATGCTGCTGCAACATCAGGGCTCTTCAAGTTCAGATCTGGGCCTCCTCCTCTTCTATTTTTGCTCAAAGGGTTTTGTGCGTCTGCCACCCACCCCCAAATAAAAATAGATTAAAAAGGCACCAAAACACCATGGGATTTCTTGTT